AAAGTTTGATGAATTCCATGGGAGAACATTCGGCATGGAGTGGGAAGGGGGGGGGGAGGGGGGGGGAGGGAAAAGAAGAGAAATAGGGAGTGGGGGAGTAAAAAAGAGGGGGGAGGAGAGGGAATGAAAAAAGAGGAAAAAGGGGGGGAAAAGGAAGGGATGAAAGGGAAAGCAACCAATAAACAAATAGAGTAGATGTGTAGAAGTAGGGTAGGGAGTCTGTCTGTCTGTCTGTCTGTCTGTATGTCTGTCTGTCTGTCTGTCTGCCTTTCTGCCTTTCTGCCTTTCTGCCTTTCTGTCCGTCCATCACTACTCACGTTGTCTGGTCGTTGGAGAACTCCAGCTCTCCCTGAGTGTCCTCGTAGTCCACGCCGCCTCCCTTCGCCGTGCCCGCCTCCGTGTGATAGGGCAGGATCACTGTGCCGCGGGCACCCGAGTTCCGCACCACTGTGATCTCCATGGTACCAACGCTCTCGCTGACGCGCACCAGCCGATCACGGAATGTGAAGATGCCAGCATGGTCATCGTCCAGGATGGTCACCATGGTGACCAGTGGCTCCACCAGACGGCCCTTGGGTCCCGCACCTGGCTCATCACTCTCGAACATCCCCTCAGCGTCACCGATGCGCAGGTTGAGCAGCCGCACGAAAAAGTGCTCGTCCTCCTCGAAGATGTCATCATCGATGATGCCGACCTGGGAAAGGTGTAGGATGGAGGGAGGAGGGGTGGAGATGGAAAGTGACAGCTGTTATAGACCATAAACGCTTGAGACATGCATCAAATCAACCACACTGATGGTCATAGACATGGGACACAAGGGGATTGATTGTTGTAGTCACTCATTCATGACTAATGGTTGACTAGCTACTGTTATGAAATAACGCAATTGAGTTGTTTCCTAACTCTCTCTCTTTCTATCGCTCTCTTCACATTTCTTGTTTTCTCCCTTTCCTCATCATCCCTCCTGCTATCCAGAAATACACATTATCTTTGTCCTCTGTCTAAGTGTGAACATGAAATGACATGAAAACTATGAGTTCAAAGAGGGAAACATCCTCTCCAAGGACAAAATACTTCAAAGCCCACTTCCTCCTTTTTTCACCGTCTCTCCCCTCTCCCACGTCATATTCACTGTCAGTCAGGATGAAGAGGCAGACTTTAATGTGCTCTAGCTTCCAGAAGACTCTCCAGCTCTACTGGCTCCTCAAAGACAATATGAGACAGTTGATCCGGGACAGAGAGGACTCTGGCAGGTGCTAATTCAGAGAGTACTCGGTTTCTGCTGCTGTTTTCTGCTCCTTCCATTATGTGACGTCCTGATCTGTCCACGACAAGCAGGTCTAACGACCTAGCTGGGGATCTTCTAGGCAGCACAGTTGTGCAACGCTTCTTGCTATAATTGATTGGAACTGTATGTTACTGTTCCCTTTCCTCCCCTTCCACTGATCCCTCACCTTGATCTCCTTGCAGGTCTCTCCAGGTTTGAACACCAGCGTTCCCTCACTGTACTCGTAGTCGGACCCGGCGTTGGCCGAGCCGTCCTCGGTCCTGTAGTCCACGTAGAAGGTGCTCTCCCCCAGGCCCCCTTGACACACCACAGCCAGCCTCAGTACACCACAGTTCTCCATGCACTGGCTGTGGGTGCTCTCAAATGCCAGGCGGCTGCACTCGGTCAGGTCGTCGTCCTCGCAGACAACTTCCTCGTCCACGGCGGCGGCGCGGCGGGTGTGGTCGGCGGCGTGCCTCTTGAGCACATTGCCGGCGCCGGTCATCATGCGTGTAGCCTGGATGCGGTAGAAGGCGCGGCTCTTCTGCTGATGGAGGAGGGCGTAGTAGTTGGCTAGTTCTACCAGCTGATCCAGCTCCTTGTCCGGAAACTTCTGTTTCAGCTGCTTCAGGATGCGGATCACCTGGGGGCAGAGGAACAGGGGGTGAAAAAGCGGGACACAGACACAACCTCGACAGACACAGAGAGAAGGTTTGTAACTCTTGTAGGTTCAGCACGTTTGTAGCTCTTAATAGTCTCCTTTGCTTGAGTGTGTTTGTATGTGTGGTTGAGATGAGTAACTACAGTATGTGGGTGTTCATGTATTGGCTGATGGGTGTATCCTCTTCATCTCTCCATCTCTTTCTCTCTCTCTTTTTACTCTCTCTAACCCTAATGTGCCTATATCTATTCCTGAGTGCATGAATGGGATGAGTGTATCCTCTATAACTCTCTCTGTCTCTGTCTCTGTCTCTGTCTCTGTCTCTGTCTCTGTCTCTGTCTCTGTCTTCTCTCTCTCTCTCTCTCTCTCTCTCCTCATCTCTCTCTCTCTCTCCTCCTCTCCTCTCTTCTTTTCCTCTCTCTCTCTCTCTCTCTCTCTCTCTAAGTCTCTCTCTCTCTCTCCCCTCTCCCTCGTCTCTCTCCTCCTCTCCTGGGAGTTTTTTTTTAGAGTTTGTGTAGAGGGCTTGTCCTAACTTAGTTATTGATTCTTTCCTTGGATTTTCCTTTCAATCTCTCTTTTCTATGGTTTGTTTTAGTGGTACCCACTGTTTTTATTTTAAAAGTTAGGGAGGAAGAGGACAGAGGTTTAGTTTCCTGGGGTTTTGAACGGTGTGGTGTGTGCGATGGCTTCGCAGCCTAGCGCGGAGGAGACGCTGTCATTACGGCATGGATTCAGGTGTGTTCCTGAGAATGGAATTAAGGTGGAGGTTCTGCTCGCGGTCGGCGAACAGGTAGGAGCTGAATTTATACACTCCGCATCCAGAATGAACAAAACATTGTGTTGTGTTCATGAAAATAGCAAATTTGGTGGGTAGGCTCAAATTTGGTGGGTAGGCTCAAATTTGGTGGGTAGGTGCCAATTTCTCCTCTTTCTACCCCTTCGACTAGGGTGGTAGTTGCAAATTTGCCTCCGTTTATTACGGATGATCAAATCAGGAAGGAGTTGAGTAGTTTTGGTAAGTTTGCTAGTGGTTTTCGTGTACTGTCTGCAAGTTTTCAGGCAGATGCCGTCAAGCATGTTGTTTCATTCCAGAGGCAAGTGTTCATGTTTCTGAATAACAATGAGCAACAGTTAAATGTGCATTTTAAAGTGAGGCATGGGGAGGGGCTCTACGCAGGTTTTGCCAGCACAGATAGTCTACAGTGCTTTGAGTGTGGGGATGTGGGGCATAAGAGCTTTGCGTGCCCACATAAAAGCCGTAGACAAGGTAAGGGTTCAAGCACCAGTGGGGGACATCGAGGTCAACGTGCAGGGGGCCATGAGACGCAGGCAGCAGAGGCTGGGCCTAGTCATGTGACAGATGGTAGTGTAGCTAAGGCTGGTCCTAGTCATGCTATAGATGGTGGTGTAGATGAGGCTGGGTCTAGTCATGTTATGGATGGTGGTGTAGATGAGGCTGGGTCTAGTCATGTCATGGATGGTGGTGTAGATGAGGCTGGGCTTAGTCAGGTTATGCTAGTGGATGAGGAGTGTATTGTGGGGAAGGGTAAGCGACTGGGGGGGTGAAGGAGGGTGTCAAGCGGAAGAGGAAAAAGGGGGAGAAGAAAGGAGGTGGGAGGGCAGAGGCTGGTGTGGTGAAAGGCACCAAGGAACCTTTGCCTGGTGCTGAGGGGGAGGCTCCGACTAGTGAGGAAGAGCAGGTGGTCAGGATGGGAGATGGAGATGAGGAGGAGGAAGGTGAGTCTGAGGAGGAAGACGATGAGGAGGATTTCTTTTCAGACTCCTCCTCAATGGGTCCAGAGCTGACAGCCAGTCAGTCAGAGGGGTCAAAGTACACGGTGAGGGAACTGTCAAGGTTCCTGAATGAGACTAAGGGGAAAAAAGTAAATCTTGAGGCTTTTTTTTGCGATCCGGGAAAGTTTGTAAGATCAGTACAACATACTATGAAAAATGAGGGGCATGGTGTCCTCTCACCCAGGAAACGGTTTAGGTTGAGGAAGTGGGTCACAACCGTGTGTAAAAGTCTACCTTCAGACACTGTTTAGATGAAAGTTTTCTTTCTGGCACTGGGGCTTTTTGAGCTTTGCTATTGGTCTCTTTCTTTGCTGGCTTTTTTCCTACTTCTTATGGAGACTCTTTGGGTAGGCTTGCTTAATATTAATGGCGCCAGAGATGCGGGAAAGAGGAGTGTGTTGGGTGAATATGTAAAACAAAAAAAAAAGTACAGGTGTTGTTTCTGCAGGAGACGCATAGTGATGTGGTGAATGAAGTTAATTGGGGGCTCTGGTGGAAAGGGGCAAGTGTGCTGAGCCATGGGACAAATGTTAGTGCATGGGTGGCAGTCCTTTTTGTACCGGGTCTGTCTGTAAAAATCTGCTCCTCAAAAGAGATGTGTAGGGGTAGACTGCTTGTAGTAAAAGCAGAAATTAACAACAGGGGTTTTGTCTTTATAAATGTGTTGGGCCTAACACGGGGAGAGAGAGGGGGCTTCTATTTGGGTGTCTTAGACAGGAACTCTCACAGATATCGCCTGAGGAGACGATGGTGGTCGGCGGGGACTGGAACTGTATGATGGATTTTACGAAAGACAGAAATGGGAAGGAGCCTCATTCAGGTTCAGTGGGGGTGTTAAGGGACATTATTAATCAGTTTGACCTAGTGGATGTTTGGAGAACTAGACATCCCAACACAAGACAGTATACATGGGTGAAGGTCTTTGGGGCTAGGGTGAGTGCAGCCCGGCTTGATCGATTGTACATGTCCAGGAATCAGAGCAATAGGCTGTTGGGCGCTACCATTCTCCCGGTGGGTTTTTCTGATAATCACATAACCATGGCTCGGCTGTCTATTTCACCAGGGCCTCGGCAGGCATCCTATTGGAAGTTTAATGTAAAGCTCTTACAAGATGCCACTTTTTGCTCAGGTTTCCAGACTTTTTGGGAAAGGTGGGGGCAGCGAAGAGTATGAGTCTCTGAGTCAATGGTGGGATGTGGGAAAAGTCCAAATTCAGCTTTTCTGCCAACAGTATACAGCTCTCTCATCCTCAGAGGCTAGGAGAGTATTGGGGGAACTCGAGCGTAGTATTAGTGAGATGGAGGTAGAGCTGGTGGGGCAAGGCAATGTAGGCCTCCAGGCTAATTTAGCTGAACTACGTAGGGACCTGGGCAGTTTTCTCCAGGTTAAAGCAAAGGGAGCACTTGTAAGAGCTAGGTTCTCCATGCTCAAGGAGATGGATGCTCCCAGCTCCTTCTTCTTTGGTTTGGAAAGACAGAGCGGTGAAGCCAAGGGTATGCATTGTCTACGGCTTTCGGATGGGCGGGTGACCTCTGTGGTGGGGGAGATGCGGGAGCGGACTGTGGAGTTTTATACTGAGTTGTATAGGGCAGAACTGAGTGATCCTATGTGTGCTCAGGTTTTGTTTGCCAAACTCCCTAAGCTCTCTAAGGTACAGAGGGATGAAATGGACATTCCCCTGTTGTCCCATGAACTGGAAGAGGGCGTAACCCAGATGTCCCCCGGCCGTGCACTGGGGGTCGATGGACTCCCAGTGGAGTTTTCTAAAAATTCTGGGGAATAATTGGACTGGACTTCTTTTGCGTGTTGCGTGAGTGGTCGGAGTAGGAGAGTTGCCGATTAGCTGCCGGCGGCGGCTCTGACTCTCCTGCCCAAAAAGGGGGACTTGTGTGAACTTAAGAACTGGAGGCCTGTGGCATTGCTCTGTGCGGACTACAAGATATTTGCCAAGGTCCTCGCTAACAGACTAAAGTCCCATCTGGACTCTATAGTACACAAGGACCAGACATATTGCATACCAGTACGCTCAATCACGGACAACTTGTTCTTAATCAGGGACATGTTGGATTTGTGGAGAGGTTCTAATGTGAACTTTGGTCTGGTCTCTTTAGATCAAGAGAAGGCTTTTGATAGAGTGGACCATGAGTATCTGTTTAATGTGATGTCTGGGTTTGGGTTTGGGGAAAGGTTTTTTGGCCTATGTGAAGATGTTGTATGCTGGGGCATCATGTATGGTTAAGGTGGGAGGGGGGCTCAGTAGGCCAGTCTGGGTGAGGCGGGGCATTAGACAAGGATGCCCTCTATCAGGGCAGTTATATACACTAGCCATTGAGCCTTTTTTGGGCCTGCTATGCAGGAGACTGCAGGGAGTGTGCTGGACAGGCATAGCAGTGTCAGCGTATGCAGATGAGGTTTCTGTTATGGTCAGGGATGGTGAGGATATGCAGGCACTAGAGAATAGTCTGAAGGTGTACGAGAGAGCTTCGTCAGCTAAGGTAAACTGGGGCAAAAGCAAAGCTCTGTTATGTGGGGCATGGGAGGATAGGGCCCCTCCTCTGCTTCCAAGGGGTTTGCAGTGGGGTTGTGGAGGGCTTAACATTTTGGGGATGTACCTGGGCTCGGAGAGGTGGGTCAGGAGGCTCGCAGACCTGCAACGCAAGCTGGTGGATTTTTTCTGGTTGGGCCATCCCTGGCTGAGGGCGGCAGTGTTGTATATGTCCATAAATGAAGGAAGACAGGGCCTGGTGGAACTGGAGAGCAGGGTGGCTGCATTCCGACTAAAGGCGGCGCAGAGACTGCTGTACCATACTGATGTCGGATGGAGGGAGCTAGCATGCACGCTGCTGAGGAGAGCTGGCGGATTAGGGTTGGACCGGCAGCTATTCCTCATGAGGCTGGAGGGGCTGAGTACAGCAGGACTCTCTGATTTTTACTCTGCGGTGCTGAGGGCCTAGCAGCTACTAAGGCCCACACGAGAAGGGGGTGTGGAGCCTGGGCTGTGGGTGTGGGAGGAGCCTATCTTCCACAACCCAGGAATCCTTTTGAGATCGGTTCAGTCGGCCACCCTGAAGAGGTGACTGATGGCAGCGGGATTACTAAGGCTGGGTGACCTGCGACTGCTGGGAGAGGAGGGGTGGAAAACCCCAGAAGTCCTAGCACAACAAACAGGACTAACATCTCTTAGGCTGCTGGAGAAATTCCTGGGGGAAGTCCAGGAGGTACTGTCTGAGCCGGTAAAGGGGGTGTTTGAGCGGCCAAAGTGGGAGGGGCCACCAATGTTTCCGCCACTGCATGTGACGGCAGAGACTGGGGACTGGCAAGGGGGTCTGGAGGACTTGTTAGATTTTAACACTCCGAGCCTGGGGGAGTTTGAAGGGGTAGGAGGTGAAGCCCTATACAACCTCTGTATTAAGGTAAGGAACATCAGGAGCCTAACAGGAGTGAAGGCACATCAGTGGCAGGGGGTATGTGGGGCGGAGAGTATGGTGGGTTTTAGATGGAGGGGGCTCTACAAACTTCCAGTATCAAAGAGGTCAGGGGACCTCCAGTGGAGGGTTTTACATGGAGCCCTGGCCACTAACAGCTGGTTGGCAGGGGTTGAACCGGGAGTCGGACAGGGGTGTCCTTTCTGTGTCATGAGTGAAACTGTGATTCATATGTTTTCTGTGTGCGCCAGGTTAATGCCTTTAATGTCTCAGTTGGAATGTCTGTGTGAGAGGTTGGGGGTGGAGTTTACTGTCCGGATGTTTTAATGGGATACAGGTATTCAAATTAGGAAAAGGTTAAATGTGTGTTGTTGAATTTTCTGTTTGCTCAGGCAAAGTTGGCTATTTGGATAACAAGGAGGAACAGGGTCAAAGGTGGAGGGATAACAGACCCTTTACTATTATTTAATGGGATGGTCTCTGCGCGCCTTAGGGTGGAATTTGAGTTCTATAAAATTATAAAAAGTGTGGAGATGTTCAAGAGATATGGTGTGTTTGGGGGAGCTGTCTGTATAGCTGGGGAAGATGGTCTGGATATACGGTTTGTAGAAGTGGTGAGGTTTTGGGTTATTGTGATGTGTGGTGTTGTTTTTGTATCGTGGGGTATAGGGAAAGGTTGAGTATGCAGTACAGGGGATATTTTTTATTTTTTTTATTTTATGGGGTGGGGTGGGGGGGGTGGGGCTAGGTTTTAATGAAATGAGGATGTACCATTAAAGAAAGACAAAAAAGTATCCTCTCTCTCTCGCTCTCTCACCACACCTGTTGTACTACTGGAGACTCAGAGAGCCTGAGAGAGAGTGCTAGGTCAACCTGGCTGGCATGGTTCACTGTTTTTTTAAAAATTCTTTCCAATGTGTCAAGTAATTCTCTTTTTGTTTTCTCATGATTTGGTTGGGTCTAATTGTGTTGTTTCTGCTCTCTCTCCTCTCTCTCTCTCTCTCTCTCTCTCTCTCTCTCTCTCCTCTCTCTCTCTCTCTCTCTCTCTCTCTCTCTCACACCTCCTTGCGGCTCTCGTCCAGCTCCTTGGTATTCTCTACAGTCACCATGGTGCTGTTGGAGTTGGGCAGGTAGGCCACGGCGCCCGCCGCATTGTTGGCACCATCCTGGCAGTTCTCACTGGGCATCACTCCCAGCACTCCTCCCCTAGGAGGGAACTTTCCGTCCATAATCATCTCGAAGCCTTTCGGGGTTGTGTCCCCCTCCGTCTCCACGACGATGCCATGCTTGTCAGCGCGGTAACGCTTGGCCATGTACTTGTAGAAGAGCAGGCGGCGGTCGGCGATCCAGGCCAGGATCACACACACTGGGAAGTAGAGCAGGGTGACCAGGGCCTCCCACACCTGAACACACACACACACACACAAACACGCAAACACACACACACAAACACGCACACACAAACACACACACACAGAGGGTACCATTACAAGACATACATCCAAACTGGAAGGGTGTTGATTGTTTGGTTACACACACACATACAGTATTTATACACATTTGCTAACTCACACACACACACACACACACACACACATACAAACACACACAAAAGTGTACCTCCACTACTCCGGGTGAGATGACAGAGAGGATGAGGAAGAGCCAGATATAGGCGAAGATACTCCAGAAGGCTGTGATGAAGAACACGCGGAGGTGTTTGATCTTCCTGGTCTCTCCTTCAGGGATGACCCACACACAGATGGCGATGATCACAAACATGTTGAATGCGGCACTGCCCACAATGGTGCCAGGGCCCAGCTCACCTGCCTCGAACCCATGCCCACACACCTAACACCGGGAGACAGAGGAGAGAAAGACTTTTAGAGAACCTTTACTTTTAGAGAACATTTAGTGCAGTATAAATCAAAAAGGCCATGTACAAATTGTACGTAAATGTTATATTGGTAAAATTTGACAATAACTTTAAAGTAGATATCAGTTTCTTTATGTCATTTTCATCTTAATTCCAGTACTACTACTAGTATACACTGCTACACTGATATGTTGTCGCTGGGGGGAGTGTTTATGATGTGACACCCACTTATGAGTTGTGGTCGGGGGAGTCTTTATGACGTGACACCCACCTCTATGACAGACAGCAGGATCTCTGGGGCGGAGGAGCCTAGAGCCATCAGAGTCAGGTTGGACACAGTCTCGTTCCAGATACGTACAGTGGCCACAGACGTCTCACCGCTTGGCATGGTGATGGTCACCTCCTTCTCCTACAGGACAGACAGAGAGGGGTCACACACACACACACTAGTCATCACTCTATTCACCCCATACCATTCTAGTATCTCACCACCAGACTCATACATATCTTAATCTCATCTAGCCAGTTAATGTACCAAAAAAAATAATGCTCATAGGCCTGAGATGGTAGTGGGAGTAGTAGTGGGAAGCTACAGATTTCCTTCTTCTCCACATATAAGCATGATGGATGGTATTTACAGTATCCTACCATCAGGGAGGACGCGTCCCTGACTCCCTGGCAGAAGGAAAGCAGGACGACCTGGTATTCTAATCTAGTGAATGGAGGAGTGATGGATGGCGGGCTATGGAGACTCAAGTTTCAAGTTTTATAAGTCGTATGTACGGGATACACATGGTATACACCATTCTACGAAATGCTTCCTTGCAGGTTCCTTTACAGTGACCTTGAGATGTAGGGTTGGTTAATTTTACTGAAGTGGGCTAAATCAGGGTCACACAGAGCGTTTCTTGGTAGTCTTGAACAAATCTACTTTCAAACAAAAGTATACATCTCACACACATGGTATTGGGCTTTAAAAAAAAGAAGACACCCGTACCATGTCAGATATAGAGTTGAATGTATTCAATTTTGAGATTGCATCCCAATATTACACTTTATATAAGTCACAGAAGACTGAAATTCAACAAAACCGTTTGACATAGAAACACCAGATTTTCGGCGTAAAATAAATAATGTTTATTAATTATGAAATTATGAAAGATATTAATAACATTCCACCCATGGGGCCACTGGCTCATTTGACTGCAGGAAAGGGCTCCACCATCCCTCCATCCCCATCCCCCCCGGCAGAGAGCCAGGCCTGTGCTCCTTGCTGCCAGCATAGACACTCTCATAGCGTGTTTACGCTTGCATAACCTCAGGACAAACACTGGAACAGCCCCCCTGTTACAATACAATACACTACAATACACTCCAATTAGGCCACTGGGGTGGTCTGAATCCTTAATAATGGATGCACTTCTGGCAATTACTCTCCTAATAGATTGCGATGAGGTGATGTCGAAGGAGTCAGGCGCAGGAGGGTAAATCACAGAATAACAGGCTTTATTCCGCAATTACAGAGTTACGCAGAAATGCGTCAAAACACTCTAGTGCGCAAAACAGGCGCACTGGAAAATACACGGCACATGGGGAAATATCCCGGCGATACAAAATACACGGAGCTCCACCGAGCTTCACTATCCTCCACAATAAACAATCACACACAAAGACAAGGGGGCAGATGGAACACTTATACAGGTACTGATGAGGGGATATGAACCAGGTGTGTGTAATAAACAAGACAAAACCAATGGAATGATGAGATGCGGAGCGGCAGTGGCTAGAAGGCCGGTGACGACGCACGCCGAAGCCTGCCCGAACAACGAGAGGTGGCAGCTTTGGAGGAAGTCGTGACAGTACCCCCCCTTTGACGCACAGCTCCAGCAGCGTGCCGACACCGGCCTCGGGGACGGCCAGGAGGACGCGGAGCAGGGCGAGCCGGATGGCGACGGTGGAAATCCCACAACAGGGAGGGATCGAGGATATCCCTCACCAGGACCCAGCACCGCTCCTCCGGACCGTACCCCTCCCACTCCACGAGGTACTGAAGGCCCCCCACCCCACGCCTCGAACCCAGAATGGAACAGACGGAGTACGCCGGGGCCCCCTCGATATCCAAAGGGGGCGGAGGGACCTCCCACACCTCAGACTCCTGGAGCGGACCAGCCACCACCGGCCTGAGGAGAGGCACATGGAACGAGGGGTTAATGCGGTAATCAGGAGGGAGTAGTAACCTGTAAGTAACCTCGTTTATTCTCCTCAGGACTTTGAACGGTCCCACAAACCACAGGCTCAGCTTCCGGCAGGACAGGCGGAGGGGGCAGATTCCGGGTCGAGAGCCAAACCCGATCACCCGGTACAAAGACCGGGGCCTCACTGCGGTGGAGGTCAGCATTGGCCTTCTGGCGACGCACAGCGCATTGGAGGTGGACGTGAGCAGCGTTCCATGTCTCCTCTGCGCGCCGAAACCAGTCATCCACCACAGGAGCCTCGGTCTGGCTCTGAAGCATGCATGAGAACACCAGCTGTTCCGGATGACTATGTGATCACGCTCTCCATAGCCAATGTGAGTAAGACTTTTAAGCAGGTCAACATTCACAAGGCCGCAGGGCCAGACGGATTACCAGGACGTGTACTCCGAGCATGTGCTGACCAACTGGCAAGTGTCTTCACTGACATTTTCAATATGTCCCTGACTGAGTCTGTAATACCAACATGTTTCAAGCAGACCACCATAGTCCCCGTGCCCAAGGACAATAAGATAACCTGCCTAAATGATTACCGACCCATAGCACTGACGTCTGTAGCCATGAAGTTGTCCAACGCGGCTCCTCCTTCACTCCAGACCGCGTTGGCCCACTCCAGGGATTTCCCCGAGGGGCAGGAGACGAGGGCGGACACCTTCTCCCGCTCCGATGGAGCCGGCCTGATGTTCAAATAGTACAACTCCAGTTGTAGGAGGAATCCCTGGCAGAGGGCAGCTGTCCCGTCGAAAGCCTGCCCGAACAAGGAGAGGTGGCAGCTTCGGAGGAAGTCGTGACATAGATGCTCGCATTATGAACTTATGAATAAAATTGTCTGTAATTTGCTCGGTCAGAGAGAAAATTGAAAAAGGGAGAAATCTATGCTATTCCGATTATGAACAAAGATGTTGAACACATGGTTTGCTATAAAGAGGACAATATTACAAACGGATAACTAGTAAATTCACAATGGTGTTCGATGGCCCAACAACAAACTGAAATGGATTAATAATTTATGAAAAAAGAATAAAACAGCCCCGGTTAATTGATTATGGAATCGATTCCAGGGCTAGAATCTATTTCAGTTTGTTGAGAACACTATCCCTTGTCAGCAGAGAGATCCAATTCATAACGATGTCAAAGAGTCTGGACCAATTATCTAAAGCTTTAAAATCAGATGGAACCAATAATTCAATACACTAAGTCTCATATTATTTTCCAATAGTTTCGTTCTGAACAGAACCACTATTTATTTCGTCCCGTTCCACTGTTCTGACCAGCAAAACTTTAAAAAGTACCTGTTTATATCATTATTTTCTCTTCCTTTTTTAACTAGCATTGAAAATCCATTCTTCTCTAATAAAAAATCTCTCTCCCTATCTTTTTGTAAGATTTTATAAAAATAATTAACAATACAAAACATACACATACAAACGACATCACACAAACATCAACTACATCACACCTGCCCCACATGCTCACAATCCCCATCTCCAGCGCCCGCATCACTCTCCGCCACATGGCCTCAAACTGCATCATTTTGTGTCCCTCCATTGCCCACGTGCTCTCTCCCTATCTTCTGAATCACGCTTGTAATGTTAGTAGGCTACAGTAGCCTATGCTTCGGAGGAGGAGGCGCAGGTAGCTTACACATGCACACACACTGGCAAAGATTTTCAGCTTGCAGGCAGACACTGGAAGAAGTTTCTGAGTGACAGAGTGAGGGCTTTGCATAGGCGCTTTGTTGCATTTTTTGTGGGACTAGAAAAACATGCCCGGAATGTAATAGAACGCTATTAACCGGTTCCCATGCTTTTAAAAGAATGGTTCTGTTCCAGAACAGTATATATCACTGTCGTTCCTGGTTCTGTTTCTGTTCGTTTAAATATTTTGTTATTGTCTGGTTTTCGGTTTTGTTCCCTGAACCGGTTCCAACCCAAGGCTAGAATCTATTTCATTTTGTTGAGTCAACACTATCTCTTGTCAGCAGAGAAATCCAATTCACAACAATGTCAGAGTCTGAACCAATTACCCAAGCTTTAAATCAGATGGAACCAATAATTAATTACACTAAGTCTGCATTTCAGGATGTGTTTCAATGAACATACTGTAAATACTGGAATTCCATATGGGCCCAAAGTCAGTCACTCCAAGAAATGTGAAAACCCAAACATAGAAATAACATGTTAATTTGAGCTGTCTGTGGTAAGAGAAAGAAACTGTTGTGTCTATCACCCTTGCAGAGGCGAGTTTTACAATTACTTTATCATAGAGTGTTCTACTTGTTTCGATGTTCACTGTGTTTGAGTGACAGTTAATGTAGTCTAGGGAGAGGTGAGAGAGGAGAGCCAACCACTTGGGTCTAAGAGTGGGAGAGCTCTCTCTGTAAAAATAGAATCTCTTCATTCTATTCCTATGTCATTTCCATTATGTGGTGAATGACAACTCTACATAAACACAGTCTATCATATGGGTCAATTTATCATACAGTACCAACCTGTGAGGTGATGACCTCGATAGAGGCCATGAAGCGGTCTGCGATGATGGACACTCCCAGGAACATGTACATGAGGCAGGTGAAGTAGACCACGGCCCTGGCCACCTGGTCGCCCAGCCCGGGGCCCAGGGGCTTCCACACGGGCAGCAGGGTGCCCGGCTTGCACACCACCGGCTGAGAGCACTTTGAACTGCTGCCCAGTCCCGTGCTGCTGTTGCTCCAGAACTCCGGAGACATGGAGGGATAGGACATTGTGGAGATGGAGCGGTTCTCTTCCTCTCCTCCTCCTCGTAGAGACTCCAGGGCGCAGGGCAAAGGAAGGGGGAGGAGGAGGAGGAAGAGGAGGAAGGGGACGGAGGCAGAGAGAGAGGTGGAGAGGAGAGCCATGGCGGAGAATGCTGGGGGAAGAGAGGGATGAGGTGGACGAAGAGAGAGACGGGGAGAAAATGCCAACGTGGCAGGGAGGGTTAGGACTAGCTCACCTGGGAGGAGAGAGAGATGGATAGAAGAGTAAAGAGAGAGAGAGGACAATACTTTGTTAGATGTTGGGTGCCAGCAGCAAACATACACCAGCCTTTCATTGACCTGTATGGAGTACGTGATAAATAAACCATCTACCTCAAAATCATTTTTACACATTTGATAACTGAATCATGAGGTATTACTGCGGTTTACATAGAATACATCATTTTCAACCATCGTTCTTGTTTCCAGTTGCTGTTGAAGGTTTCCAACTTGAATAGTGAATGTCAACGTCATGCCATTGAATCATGAATATAAACCTATAACGGCTATTCAAGTCGGAGGTGCCCACATTGGCGTACGTGCTCTCTAATTTCTATTGAGACAAGAGAGAGATAGAGAAAGAGAGAGAGATAGAGATAAAGAGAGAGATAGATAAAGACAGAGCGAGATAAAGAGAGATAGCGATAGAGAGATAAAGAGAGATCGCGATAAAGAGAGAGAGAGATTGTGTGTGTGTGCGCATGTGTGTGTGTATGTGTGTGTGTGTGTGTGTGTGTGTGCGTGCATGCGTGCGTGCGTGTGAACAGGTGTCTTCACCCCAGGCTATCCTCAGCAGGTCTCACATTGTGACTGTAATCTGCTAACCTGGCTCTCTGCTCAACACATTCTCCCTTACATATGGCGCTCATACACTGCACCCAGAAACTACACACACTGTATGTATCCACAATCACACCCAGAGAGCAGGAATACAATACAGATACATTGTACTGTAATTGACACCTTGTGAAATAATGGTTGAATAACAGGTACTGTATACACACAAAAACCCTCATATACTGGATATGTGAGTGTGTGTACATGGCCTAAAGTTGTATGTATCTGTTCAACAATTTTACTCACTAGGCCGTCATCCCAAATTAAATGGCACCCTATTCCCTATGGGCCCTGATCAAAAGTAGTGCACTATATAGGACATAGGATGCCATTTGGGACTCATGCTAGTAGAACAAACAAGCAAGTACATACTGCTTCAAAAACACACTGCCAGTCAGCCATGGACCAGTATCTCTATCTGATCTCTATCTCGCTCTCATCTCTCTCTCTCGCTCTCGCTCTCTATCTTCTCTACTCTATCTCTCGCTCTCTCTCTCTCTCTCTCTGTCTCTCTCTCTCTCTCTCTCTCTCTCTCTCTCTCTCTCTCTCTCGCTCTCTCTCTCTCTCTCTCTCTCTCTCTCTCTCTCTCTCTCTCTCTCTCAATTCAATTCAAAGGGCTTTATTGGCATGGGAAACATGTTTACATTGCCAAAGCAAGTGAAATAGATAATAAACAAATACAAAAAAATGAACAGTAAACATTACACTGACAAAAGTTCCAAAATAATAGAGACATTTTAAGTGTCATATTATGTCTATAGACAGTGTTTTAACAATGTGCTAAAAAGTACAAAAGGGAAAATAAATAAACATAAATATGGGTTGTATTTACAATGGTGTTTCTCTTCACTGGTTGCCCTTTTCTTGTGGCAACAGGTCACAAATCTTGCTGCTGTGATTGCACACTGTGTTATTTCACCCAATAGATATGTGAGTTTAACAAAATTTCTTTGTTGGTCTGTATAATCTGAGGGAAATATGGTCATACATACTTTACCTCTCTCTCTCTTACTTTACCTTTCTCTATCACTTTCTTTATCTTTATATCTCTCTCTTTATATAGCTCTCTCTCTTTATTTACATTTAAGTCATTTAGCAGACGCTCTTATCCAGAGCGACTTACAGTTAGTGAGTGCATACATTTTTCATACTGGCCCCCCGGGGGAAACAAACCCACAACCCTGCCGTTGCTAGCGCCATGCTCTACCAACTGAGCTACAGGGTATATCTCTCTCTCTTTATCTCTCTCTCTCTCTTTATATATCTCTCTCACTCTATATCTATCTATTGCTCTCTCTCTCTCTTTATCTATCTCACTGTCACAACTTCCTCCGAGGCTGCCTCCCCTCCTTGTTCGTACAGGCTTCGGCGTTCGTCGTCACCGGCTTACTAGCCACTGCCTCTCCATTATTCATCATTCCATTTGTCTTGTCTTGTTGATCACACACACCTGGTTCTTATCCCCTCATTAGTCCGTGTATAAGTGTTCCCTCTGCCCCCTTTGTCCTTGTGGGTGATTGTTCATTGTAGGAGTAGTGGAGCTCGGTGGAGCTCGTGTATTTTGTTCGACAGGAGTATTTTCCTGTGTATCTTGTATTTTCCAGTGCAACTGGCACTGTGCCCTGGAGTGTGTTTGACGCAGTTCTGCGTAAACCTATATTTTGCGGATTAAAGCCTGTTATTCTGTGATTTGAACCTGACTCCTTCAACACCACCTCATCACAGAATCACCCACCTGAATATGGAGTCAGCGGGAGAAGAGCGCATGCCTGGAGTCGTGGCACGGGTCCAGGAGCATTCCACGATGCTGGCCAGCTTGGGGGAAGCGATAGATCTGTCGAGACCAGCTGGCCAACCGGATCCAACCACCTACACCCCAGCACCCGGAGGGATCCAGATATCCCGACCACGGACGTTTGATGGGACGACGGCGCTGTGCCAGGGATTCCTCCTACAATTGGAGCTTTACTTTGCCAGCATCAGGCCGGAACCACTGGAGCGGGAGAAGGTGTCCGTCCTTGTTTCCTGCCTCTGTGGGAAAGCCTTGGAGTGGGCCAACGCGGTGTGGAATGAAAGAGGAGCCGCGTTGGATGACTACAGGGAGTTCGCACGCCTCTTTTGGGCGGTCTTTGATCACCCGCCCGAGGGTATAGAGGCGGGTGAGCGACTGGTCCATCTGAGGCAGGGGACGAGGACCGCGCAGGACTTCGCGTTGGAGTTTCGGAAGCTGGCAGCGGGGTCTGGGTGGAACGAGCGGGCCCTGATCGACCATTTCCGGTGCCATCTGCGGGAGGACGTCCGACGGGAGCTAGCCTGCAGAGACACCATGTTGTCCTTCAACATACTGGTGGACATGGCCATTTGTTTGGACAACCTGCTGGCAGCCAGAGGACGTCCTGGTAAGGGTCTGCCCATTTCTACCCCGGACGACTCGGATCCCGAGCCGATGGAGCTGGGTGGAGCCGCCGGCCGAGAGAGCGGAGGAGGACAGTGTCAGTGCCACTATAGTGGCACGAAGGGACAATACACTACACGTCGTAGTCAACGTTCTTTTGGGCCGGGAGGCGGCAGGCAGGGCACTCACGCATCACCCCAGGTAACGAACACCCACACTTGTTCAGAGCCCTCTGCTGCGCACTGTACCATACCTATCAACTTTCCCGATCTCATGGTAGTTCCCCAGTGTAAGGCGCTAGTCGATTCAGGCGCAGCTGGGAACTTTATGGACAGGGCATTCGCTCGCCATCAAGGCATAACAATGGTTCCCCTATCCATTCCACTCCCCATCAGAGCACTCGATAGTCGACCAATAGGGTCCGGGTTTGTTACGGAAGTCACGATACCAGTCACCATGATCACCCAGGAGACTAATTTTGAGCAGGTTATTTTTTTCGACTATTGAATCTCCTGCTTTCCCTGTGGTATTAGGTATCCCTTGGCTAGCACTCCACAACCCCACCTTCTCATGGCCGCAGAGGGCTCTCACAGGGTGGTCGCGAGAGTGTCAGGGTAGGTGTCTAGATGTTTCCGTTGGTGCAACCACGGTGGAAAGTCCAGACAGTACCTCCACCGTGCGCATTCCCCCTGAATACCTTGATCTGGCGCAAGCATTCTCTAAAACGCAGGCGACTAAATGACCACCTCATCGGGCGGGGGATTGCGCGATAAACCTCCAGGTAGACGCTGTACCTCCCAGGAGTCATATACAGTGAGGGAAAAAAGTATTTGATCCCTTGCTGATTTTGTACGTTTGCCCACTGACAAAGATATGATCAGTCTATAATTTTAATGGTAGGTTTATTTGAACAGTGAGAGACATAATAACAACAAAATAATCCAGGAAAACGCATGTCAAAAATGTTATAAATTGATTTGCATTTTAATGAGGAAAATAAGTCCCTTACGTCCTTAGCCTACCTTGGCTAAGGACGTAAGGGTGTACGTCTCCACCTGCTCAGTTTGCGCCCAGAGTAAGGCACCTAGGCACCTCCCAGCGGGTAAGTTACAACCTTTATCAGTTCCACAACGACCATGGTCTCACCTTAGTGTTGATTTCTTGACTTATCTTCCCCTTTCCCAAGGTAACACCACCATCCTGGTCGTTGTGGACCATTTTTCCAAGTCCTGCCTCCACCTTCCTCTGCCTGGTCTCCCCACGGCCCTGCAGACTGCGGAGGCCCTGTTTACTCATGTCTTCCGGCACTACGGGGTGCCAGAGGACATAGTGTCCGACCGAGGTCCCCAGTTCACGTCCAAGGTTTTGAAGGCGCTCATGGAACGTCTGGTGGTCTCTGTCAGCCTGACCTCTGGGTTCCACCCCGAGTCAAATGGGCAGGTGGAACGGGTGAATCAGGATGTGGGTAGGTTCCTGCGGTCCTACTGCCAGGACCGGCCGGGGGAGTGGTCGGTGTTCTTGCCATGGGCAGAATATGCCCAGAACTCTCTCCGCCACTCCTCTACTAACCTAACGCCATTCCAATGTGTTTTAGGTTACCAACCGGTTCTGGCACCGTGGCACCAGAGCCAGACCGAGGCTCCTGCGGTGGATGACTGGTTTTGGCACGCGGAGGAGACGTGGGACGCTGCCCACGTTCACCTCCAGCGCGCCGTGCGTCGTCAGAAGGCCAGCGCCGACCATCACCGCAGTGAGGCCCCGGGGGATCGGGTCTGGCTCTCGACCCGGAATCTGCCCCTCCGCCTACCCTGCCGGAAGCTGAGCCTGCGGTTTGTTCAAAGTCCTGAGGAGAATCAACAAGGTCACTTATAGGTTATTACTTCCCCCTGATTACCGTATTAACCCCTCGTTTCATGTGTCTCTCCTCAGGCTGTGGTGGTTGGTCCGCTCCAGGAGTCTGAGGTGTGGGAGGTTCCTCCATCTCCTCTGGACATCGAGGGGGCCCCGGCGTACTCTGTCCGTTCCATCCTGGATTCGAGGCGTTGGGTATACTGTACTTTTCAA